TGTTAGAAGTTTATCTAATTTTTAATTTTAAAATTTATAATAATTAATTGAAATATGTGCAAATTAATATAAATAAAAAATATTTGCTTTTGACGTGAAGTCATCATCATAAATTTTTTAAATTAATATTGATAATTTTACTAATTTTATCAACTAATTAAAAATCTATTGATGAGAAATGATTCCTGTCCTCGACACGGCATTGTGCTGTAAAGCCCGCCTCCATTTTTTAAATTCTCTCGATCTTCTTGGTCTTATTCTTTCAATTATCCACTCATCGAATCTCCTTCAGTTGTACTGGAAATAATTCTTCAATCATGAGAATTCTCAGAGTTTGTGCTGCAGGCTTCGGCTTTGATTGATTTCATGGAATCACTCTCTCTTGCAGGAACAGAGGGGTTGGGATTATTGCTGTCTCTGGAAGGCAAAGTGGTCTGGCAAGACAGACAGGTGGAGAGCAGATGAAGTCACCTTCCTACCGTAGGTTAGTGCATGAAGCGTGGACGGCTGATGATTAATGTTACAAACAACGGTGCAGATGGAGCGAGATGGACGGTTGATGTTTATGAAATCATGCATGGCGGGCACGTGGAAGCAAAGGAAAACAACAGCGAATGGACAAGGGAATAACCGGTCTTCAACAGATCCAGGCCCCCTAATCTGATTCAAAATTCAAACTAGTCTTCTAAATTCAACAAAAAAAAAAAAAGTTAACAATTTCTATTAGAAATATTGGTAGGAGATTGGAGGTTAGGCGAGCAATGAATTGTAATCTCTTGCATTCTATTAATAAAATAACCTCAATCTTTCCATGATTCTTTCACTAAAAAAAAAAAACAAATTCAATTCCAGCAATTTAATATAATTAAAAGAGGTTTTTGCGACTTGATATCAATCATGGTAGATGGAACACTCATGTCACAATTAATTGAAACCTCTCAATTTTTTAATTTTTTTCTTATATAAAATTGATATTTTTTCTAATTTATCATTTAATATTAAATTAATTAATAATTAAATTTTTTTATTAAGTCGAGGTTTAAGATTCACTAAGCTAGAACATTAATTCAAGTTTAGAACATTCATTCAAATTAGCTTTTTTTTTTAATATTAATTTTTTTTCAATTTTAATCTTCGATATTTATTTGATTAGAGATTACTCTTTGTTATTATTTTTATTTTCTTTTTATGGAGTTTTTCATTAATTTTAAAATGATTTAGACTATCACATATCTTTTTATTTATTGTTTTTTTTTAAATTAACTTTATTTAAAAAGATTTTGTTTTTGAATTAGTTTAAACTAATTAATTAGATAGAAGTATGAGAAGCTTACTTGAAAATATTTTGTTTAGTTTGCATCATAGGTTGTTTCTTTTATGTATGGCGTGCATGGTCTCTTTTAATATCGTTATATAACCTTTTATAACAGTGTTGGAATCGTCTTAATGAGCTCTTTATCATAGTGAAGTGGTGTTCATAACAGAGCGACGATAGATCTCTACCAGGCATTTTTTTTATTATTGATTATTATTATTTTTTTATCATTTTATCTAATATCGATGCATTTTTATTATATTATGAAATTAATTGAGTTTATTAAACTTAGTCAAGTTAATGACCTGGGTTTCGGATCTTTCTTGCTTATTTAAAAAAAATGGCTTAGCCTGAATATATTTTTTATATTAGAAAAAATTCAACCTAACTCACAACATCGTGCAAGCCACCTATCTAGATACAACTAAATAGCTTAGATTTTTTATGTACAATGCGCATTGTAAGTAAAAACACTGTGGACTTCGATAAGGTTTTTCTATTTTTTTATTAAATAGTTTTTTGTTAATTTCATCATTTTATTTGTATCAATTAGAGGTTAAATTTTGATAATTTATTTCGTATCTGCTTTCTATTGAGTTATCAATGTTAAGAGAACCTTTCAATATTTGTTTAATACTCGATTTTGCAAAAACCAATTCAATTTTATTTTCTTATATAAAATTAGAAATAAAATGATTAAAAATGAAAGTGTTTGAGAAATAAAGGCTTTATTTTGGCACAGAAATGTTCATTCAATGCTTCTTCTTCTTCTTCTTCTTTTGGAGATTTAGCCTTGGCTTTTGTTTTAATTTGTGTTCTGGTCACTTTATTTTTACAATTATACATTGTGATCTAGGAGTTCATTTTATTTATGTTTAGATCCTTGGGTTTGATAGAGGATAGTATCCAGATTATAGGTGAAGAGAAGAAAAGTCATCCATTCTCTATATTTTTAAGACAAAATAACTTGTTCCTAGTGTTAATGATTTTCACTCCACAAAAAAATGTTCAATTAAGATGTATTTTACCCTTCGTCTTGTTAGATAAAGTGTATAAGGGATTTTACCCTTAAAAAAACATTTTTTGGCTTGATTTTGTGTTTTGAATTAAATTAAGGGTGTTTGGATTAATAGGTTGGTTAATCAAGGTTTTACTATAAGTGTTTTGAAGGTAAAAAAAACTTTTTTTAAAAAAAACAAAAGGGTTGTCCTCCCTATTTTTCTCTAATAAAAGGCCTACTGCAAGGGGCAGGGCTCTTTCTTTATATATTAAGCCCACAAGCTCACTTGCCTATTTTTTTTTTTTCCCTCAACATTTTAAATTTCATCACATTAAAATAGATTAGTAAAAAATAATTTTAGAATTTTTTTATTAAATATCATTGATTTTTTAAAAAATATCTGGAGATGTTCATAGCCTTTTTTATTATTATTGTATTGGCAAGTGCATTATTTTGTTTAACCTTTGACGATGTTATCTACGTTTCCATTTTCCATTTGGGTTTGTTCTACTGAACATGCCAAACGGTCATTTCCATGAAGGCGATGCAAAACTGACTCAAAATGGAAAAACGTTTGGAATGAGGGGCATTCCGAGAATCGAACTCGGGACCTCTCGCACCCAAAGCGAGAATCATACCACTAGACCAAATGCCCATCTTGTTATGGTTTCCAACTTTATAATATCCATCATGAATTTATATATTTAACTTTTTTTTTTTTTTTAATGGGATTGTAGTTTGAGGTGATTTCATCTCCATGTATTTAGCTTTAGAACCATGTTACATCGTACGAATCCGGTTTGCAAGAATACATCACATAAAAAATAATATTTTGGGTTTTATGTCTTTTCTCTTAATTGCCATTAGATAATTACTTTCACTATATTATAAGTCAAATTAAATTTTTGTTGAATGTAAAAAGATATTAAAATATTATTAATATATCTCCTATAAAAAAAACTAGATAAATTATGTGGAGATTGACTCGATGTGGCATAGTTAACTTTATAGGTTCAAAGACAATCTAAACAATCAATAAGAATATAGTTTGATTAAAAAATAAAATCAAAATGATATATTTTTTGAATATTGAGATAATAACATATTGCATTTATTTGAATTTACTCAAATCAACTCAAATTTATTTTGATAAACTGAACTTAACTTGTTAAATCTCCAACCCAGATCATGAGACCCTGATAATTCTATAGAAAATACATAAAAAAAAAAAACTAAGTCTAATTCTCAATCAATCTAATATTGAAGGATAAAATTTAAAATAAAATTTAGTTATAAAAATGAGTTTAGTCAACTTTGATTAACTTGTTAAACCTTAGTCATGGAATCGAGATAACAGTACAGAAAGAAAATTAAAACAAATCATGAAGCTTAATTCTTAATTAACCTAATATTGAAGAATAAAATTAAAAAAAAAATAATTAAAAAAAAACACGAGAAAACCACATGAAATAACCTGAGTTAACCAACCAAACTCTGACCCGAGTTATGATAATGAGATAGCTTCATAGAAAATAAAAAAAAAATTATGAAACCTAATTTTCAATCAACTTATTATTGAAAAATAAAATTAAAAAAAATTAAAAATAAGACAAAAAATCGGGCAACTAAGCTAATCCACACTTAGATTATGAAACCATGATAATCCAAAAAATAAAATAAGAAAGATTATGAAACACAACTCTCAATCAACCCAATATTGAAAGATTAATTTAAAAAAATCTATTAAGAAAATAAAAAAAATATCCTCGGTCAATTCATATTAACTTTTCAAACTATAATTATAAGATCGAGATAAATACAAAGAAATAAAATAATATATATATATATAATTAAATTTTTAATCAATCTAATATTAAAAAATAAAATAAAAAAATAGTTAATTAAAAAAGATAAAAAAAAAACATGATCTAACATAGTCAACCTACAAAACTCGTGATTCGAGTAATAAGATTATAATAACCCTATAAAAAATAAATAAAAATTTATTATAGTCAAGTTTTAAATTAAATATTAAAAAATAAAAATAAAATTAAAATTAAATAAAATAATTTAACTCAATTTAAATTAATTTATTAAATTTTATAAAATTAGAATAACTTCAAGAAAAAGACGTAAAAGAAAATAATGAAATCCAAGGTAGGAATATAAAGGCCTCGCAATGAGGAGAGACCAAGGCAAGTAATTGTGTTAAAGTATATCGGGCAGCTCAATTACGTCACTTAATCATGCTAAAATTATTAATATCTGATCTTGAGAATAGAAGAAGATTAATTCTTTAAGCCACTCTTGTTAAGTTTGACTTCCAAGGAGGCTTCAAGTAATAAGATAACGCAATGTCGCCGTCACTAACGCATCGGTTGCATGGTGCAATGTTAATATTTTGGATTGTAGTCCTAAAATCGTTGGTTTTTCTGATACATGAAACAAGAGATCCGCAGGCATGATGGAATGATGCCAATATCCTCTCTATGTTAATATATAAATGAACAGAAAAGAGGTTTGTAAAATTCTCGAGAATTTCGTGCCAGCTATCTGCCTATGAATCTATGTCCACACACAAGCACTTACAAGCGGTATTATAACACTCTTGACCCTTTTTCTCCAATGCTAGCTTGTCACTTCCTCTTCGCATTGTACCCATCACTCCTGGCGTAAAAGAGCAGCATGGCGGAAAGCGGTCGTGTTGAGATTGTTGAGAGTAACCAGAAGATGGCCGCACCTTGTGCTGGCAATTCCTCGACGAACACCAGGGAGGTCTCTGGTGCTAGTACTAGTGAAGATGTGAAAGATACGGCTACACCTGATGTGCACAACACAGCGATGAAAATTGAGAGGGGTAGAGAGGTCTACGGGGCTTATACGGGAACTGTGAGAAAGCCTACTACAGGGGAAACTTGGCTTTGGTATTTGTATGAACTGTGCTCCTATTTCATTCATACTACACTTGTTCCAGTCCTTTTCCCACTCATCATCAGCCAGATCTTCCATTCACCAGCAGAACCTGCTGGAGACTTGGTAATGAACAGGAAGGGCTTGTTATGTGGGGCAGACCAGATGAGACTGTAAGCTAGCTATTAGCTATTGTATTATAGTGTACAACCAAAGAAATAACAAATGAATGGCTCGTGAAATATTATGATCGTGTCTTTTTCTGAGGTAATAAACTAGTCCTTAATTAAATTGCAGGTACGACGCCATAACAAATAAATCCATTAACATCAGCAACGCTAAATTCTCTCCATTAGAGTGGACTTCCCTCTCCTGGGGTATAGGCTTGATTTTGGCTGCTCCAATACTTGGCTCCATTTCCAAGTACCTCGACCATGGCCAGAAACCACAAATAATTCCCGCAGCAGCAATAGCAGTTGGAGCTTTCTTTTGTCTGCCTACAGGATTCTTCAATGTCCATTGGATTTTCCCTCCGTATATTGCAGCCATTATAGCAGGTAGCACCGTTGCTATGGCCTCCCACACCCGCCAACTTGGTTACATGATCAGAGGCTTCACTGGACCCATCAATCAAAGAAAGCAATTCCAATTGCGAAGAGGGGTTTCTAGTTGGCTTTCCCTTTATGCCACAGCTGCTGGTTGCTTAGGGGCTGCCCTCATGTCAGCCTTCTCTTACCAAATGCTTAGACGTGAAGAAAGGAGATTTGTTGCTCTTTGGGTTGTTTCAATTTTCAGTGGCCTTAAATGGCTTGTTGGTATATCACATATCATTACCATCAAACCAAATAGTTCAACTACTCCTACCTCTTCTATATCATCAATTGCCCATCTGCTTTCCATTTTCAATTACCCCCATGCTCTTGGAACCGTAATCGTGTCCTTTCTGTCCTCCTTTACAACAATGTGCATCTTCACTAGCACAGTGCTCTATCTTTTAGGAGATCTATGCATTAAACCTGTTTTTATACTTTTCTTTTGGCTACTTTACTTCCTTTTCCCATTGATTTCTCTGCCACTGATGCAACCAATACAGCTTGTTATTAAGGTCAATGCGATGAAAATGCACTTGTTTGGTTTTCTCTTGTCTCTAATTACATCAGGGCTAATGGGGTTCAGCCATAAGAACAACACTTGGCAGAGACAGAATGTACTGGGGCTTGCTGCATTGCAAGGTACATCGGCTGGACTTTTGCATGCTTTTGGAAAGGTTTTAATAATTGATTGCTCACCACAAGGAAAAGAAGGAGTATTCTCTTCATGGTTTTCTTGGGGAAGAGCTCTTGGCTCTTGTATAGGCTTTGCAGTTGCATCAACAATCCCTGGGAACTTTAGAACTTCTTTTGGAGTTGCATTTTGTACTGCCATCTCTGGAGCTATCCTATTGATTTACGGAAACATCAGTGATTTTGGAGGAGCCGTGGCTGCTAAGCTTGTGAGTGAGGAGTATGATCAAGAGGGCTCACCTGTTGCTGGCTTGGATACGGCAGGCAATGTTGTAACAAAAGATGTTGAGGAGGGAACACCTTCGTAAGTGCTAAAAAAACCTACGTTTTGGAGTATGACTGCCATAGTTATTCATTGATGTGCAGACAAATAAATTATCTTTATGTTTCTTTTCTTTTTTTCACCAAATAACAGTGGCGGTGGCAACATACACTCCATCCCTAACTGTTTGAGATGGTCGTGTTGTTGCCTATATGAAATTTTTATTTATAGTGTTATTAGACAAGCTATTCTGCTTTAATTTGTGTATTTGATAAAGATTTTTTTTTAATGAATTATAATTAATGGATTCTATATATTCATGGATCATTTTGCATAGCAGAGTGGGTAAATCTAAATCTTTTTAGATGTCAATTGAATGGTAGTGGCGTGCAGCTAAAGAGAAACCTAGCTGATTATAAAATTCATGTTTTTTTTTTGTTTAAAAAATATTTTTAGAAAAAATTAAATATTTTTAATTTTTTTATATTTTGATATTATTTTAATATGTTAATATCAAAAATACTTCTTAAAAAATAAAAAAAAATTAATATATTTTTAAATAAAAAAATATTTTAAAAAATAATTATTATCATACTCGTTAAAATATATTAATTTTCATCTATAATATTAAATACTTCATTCTAAAATTCTTGGAAATTTCTTCGTGTTCTCTTCTCCTGTTAATAACATTTTGTAAAATATTTTACCTTTAGTTTTATACGTATCAACCAATCCTCACTTGGGTGTGGATTGGTTGAAGTATTGTTTTAAAATATAACCTGACTTGGATTGATACATGTAACCTAAGATATTAGTTATACTCATTTTTATTTTAAAAAAATAGAAAAATTGATTTGAATTTCCAAGAACAGAAGTGTCTTTTACCTTCCCAGAAGATTTAAAACATTGGAATTTTATATATCCAAGTTAAAAAAATATTACAAAAGCAAGTGGCGTGGTATGGTATTATAATTACAAATATAAATTAAGTATGAAGTGAAAGTTGGGTTGAAAATATTGTTTTCCATATTTTTTTTAGCATTGGATTACAATAATAATTAATAGTGTTTTTTATTATTATTTTGATCACTTTTTTCTTTTAGTTATTTTTCTAATTTAGTTCTTTTATGATGTGTATATGAGATTTAGAGTTGATAATTTATTTTAATTTTTTTATATGGTTACCAAAGTATAAAAAAAAATCTCAACATTGCGTTGATATCAAAAAAAAATATCTCAGTATTATAGTATAGTTTATTTTCTAAAAATTTTAGTTAAATAAAAAATAATTTTAAAAAATTATGTTATTAAACTTTGTGAAGTCAATATCTCGGTTTTCAAGTTTTATGAGATAATTCTACTTGTTCTGGTTTGTGAGTTTAGCGAGCTACCTTTTATTTTTAATTGAACTTAATTATGTAACTATTTATTTATTTTTTACCATATAGTTTAAAAAAATAGATTTGAAAAAAAATTATGTTATTGAATTTTTTAAAATTCTTGGGCATGTTAACGAATATGACAAGTTTAATTTTTTAAAAAATATATTTTTTTTAATTTTATTTTTTGATATTGGACTGATTGAAAATTAAGTTTTATAATTTTTTTTTAATTTTTTTTATGAAGTTATTATAATCTTAAAAAAATCTTGATATTGATTTGACACTTGATTTTGCAATAATATATTTTTGTTATCATATAGTTAAATAAATAATAGTTTAGATAAAAAACAAGTTATTAATTTCAATGGAGTCTATTACTCAGTTTGCAGCTTTAACATGTTGATTAAGTTACCCAATTCATAGATTTAGTAGGTTTATCTATCAAACTTTATATGTTTTTTTGTTAGTTTATGGTCCTTTAATTTTTTTGATTGTTTTTTAATTTAACTTTTCTTTAATATTTGGATGGTTGAAAAAATAAAATTCATGGTTTATATATTTTTTTATATTTTTTATAGAGTTATCATGTTCTCGAACAAATATTTTTTAAGGTTTGGTGCTTAATTCTAAAAGTATCTAATGTTATTATAAAATTAAATAAAAATAATTTACAAAAACATTAAATTTAATAAACTCATTAAAGTCCATGATCAAGGTCGCAAAGTGATAGATATCAATCTAATCTGATATTATCTCAATATAAAAAATAATTATCATCTTAAAGATTTTTTTAAAAGTTATGTCATATTTTTATTGATCATTAAAATTATTTTTGAATCCATTAAATTAAATAATTTATTTTATATTAGCTCTAGCATCTTTTAATTCGAAACTCAAAATGCAAAAAGATTTAAATTACCAAGTTTTAAAATCAAATCACTTGATTGAAATTAATAATGCCACCAAAAAAAACTTTTATACCCTTAATATTTTCTTTCAAGTGTTTTTTTTTTTTTTCAAAAAAATAGCCCACCTGCAAAGCATGGGTTAATATATTAGTATAACTAAAAAACGCAGGGGTACTGTATATATGTAAAGTAAACAAGCTAAATATATTTTTTAAAGTTATTTGGTCAATAACTTTTTGTCATGATTCAATGGTTGACACGTGGAGAAGCAATGTTGACTTCGTATTTTCAATTCGCAATGAAAGTAAAATTATTTTAGTCTCATCTCATGCATGTCAAATAACCTCTTGTCTCTGTTTTTTTTTTTTCAATAAAAAAATAACAATAGATTATTTGCCCCTTATAAAAAAATAAAATAAAAATAGCACAGATATGTGGATTTTCTTGGACCCATACACCCCCGCAATTTCAAAGAGCATGACTTTTTTTTATTCATCATTTGATTTTTTTTATTGTTTTTTTAATTTTATTTTTTGATTTTGATTTTTTATTAAATTTTGTCATTCAAATTTATTATGAATTACTTTTTTTATTTTTTTATCACATATTAAAATAAAAATATTAACTAAACCTGATGAAATTTATAATCCAAATTTTAGATTTGATGAGTTAATTAAAATGAGTTTCATCTATTTAAAAAAAAAATTCTTGAAATCTACCAATAAACAAAGTTATGTCAATTTAAAATTTAGGATAAAAATAGAATTGGATTAAGATTTTTTAAGTTTAAATTATTATATCAAGTATACTTACAGCTCTATTTTTTAAAAAAATATTCTAGATATTGTTTTTTCCCATTCCAAAAACTGAGTTTATACGAACCACGGCAAGAGCACTTGCCATTAACCAAAGAGATTTACCCGATGATCAAAGAATTTTGCTTCTTTTCTTGATTGTCAATATTTGGATTAGCATTATTCCTAATTTCACTTCAAAAAAAAAAAACAATTTGATCTCAAATATTACACAAAGTAGCTTAAAAATATTCTTGCTTGTCGAATAACAAAAATAGCACAATTTATCATTTTCTATCTAATTATTTATTTTATCATATAAAGTTATTGTAAGAAATTCGTATTTTGGAGGTGAGATTTTCTGTATAATTCTCCTATATGGATAGATTTATTCTTATGCTGGTGAGAATTTATAATAGCACTTTAAAAACACTTGTTGTTTTCCGATCACGGCCAAGTTCCAAAAAAATTGCAGTCACTTGGTTTAAAAGATGGTGATTTTGTTACAAGATTTTGTATGTGCTATCCCAAATAATAGCTACCGGACGTGCCCCAAGCCATACCGTGGGGCCGTATTTTTTTATAGATAATATTTATTTGTTAAAAATATATTTAAAAAAAAATAATTCTAATCATATTTAATAAATTATTTTTATTTTAATTAGATAATAAAAAACAATGATAATAAACATTTTGATAAAAAAATTAAGAAGGTTGTAACTTGAAAAAAAAAAACTAATCAATGTAACATGAGGGAAAAAGCTTTTAAAGTCTATTTAAATCTTAAAAAAAATGTATAGTTGTTAAATTTGATATTAAAAAAAATGTATTGTTGTTTAAAAAAATGATTTGATATTATTTATTTTTACTTTATTGAAATTAATAGTATTATAATAATTCTAATTATAAAATTATGACTGATTTAATAGGCTAACTTGGGTCTGGATTGGTTCATTTTCAAGAAAAAATTGACTTAACCTAACCTAGTTAAAAGCCTAGGTCAACCTAAGACAAAACACGAGTCAATAATTCATCAATTTCTTTGGGAAAAAAATCTGGGTTAACCAAGTTGTTTCTCTTAATCTATAACCCAAATATTGCCTCGAGTTAAATCCTAAATTAAATTTTAAAATCATAATAATAACAATTTTTATCTATATGTTGACTCTCATGATATGTAATTTGGGCCTTGCCTCGGTTAATCTCCAAGTTAAATTTTAAAACTATGACAATAATAATTTTTATCTTTATATTAACCTGAGTTAACCCTTTTAATCCATAACTTACGTTGACCCTTAAATTAAATTTTGAAACTGTAATAATAATAACTTTTATTTTATATTGTTCTTCTTAACATGTGACTTAGGCCTTATACTAGCTCAACTCTTAAATCAAGTTTTTAAACTATAATAATTACTATTTTTTGTTTTCAAGTTGATCAGGGTTAATGATTAACCTCACTTTTAACCCTAAATCAACATCCAAATAAAATTTTAAAACTATGATAATAATTTTTTTCTTCTTGTACTAACCCGAGTTAGTCTGACTCGTGACTCGAGCCAGATCGACTTCTAAGTTGGGTTTTAAAACTATCATAATAATCATTTTTATTATTACATATCCTAAGTAAATAATTTTAAAATTAAGAATTTTTTTATAAAGATGTTTTAAAAATAAAAAAAATAATTATTGTTTTCAGAGACATGTACCATATGTATTTTCTATTTTGAAAGTAAAAAAAAATTAATTTAAAATTATTTTATAAATTTAATTTTATATTTATATTTTTTTCAATCAAACACTCTCGCTTTCATTATAAGAACATTACTTGAATGTTATCTTTTTTTCACTTGTGTGAGCTATATAACAACACGAGGTTTTTACCAAAAAAAAAAAATCATCATTTGAGTTAATAAATGAAAGATTTAGACAATCGATTTGTTTTCCCAAACTTTTCTCCATTTTAGACACGACTGATGTGAATGATAACAAATCATTGTTAACATCATCACATACTTCAGGATGCTGATTGTAAATGGAATGGACAGTCGAGGTACT